AAAGTCCCGGAGCCATTCGTCGCAGCTGCAGCTGCCAAAGCCCCGGTCCCAAAGTCCTGGAACCGCTCGTCACGCCTACGGTCCCCGGAGCCGCAGCCACGGGGGGGGGCGACCTGCGCTTGGAGTGCCCGCAGCTTCTTTGCTACCCAGCTCATCCTACCTGCACTGCCGTGTGGTGAGACAATTCCGGCTACCCCAGCTTATAGGGGAAAATATAATCCAGCCATTCGGGCAAATCCCTCCCCTCTGCTTCCCTCACGTGAATAAGATGTGTAACTAAGGTGTACCCATATATGTTTAATGTGTTGTAATCACTCCTTTTGAACCTCCTGCCCCAAATTGCTTTGTTTTCCCCACAATAAACCTTGCTGTTGTTAGAAATATTAGTAAGCACTGAGCAGGTTATTCACTCAAAAAAGTCGGGACATAAGTTCCTGTATCCTCTGTGTGAGGCGATACCCACGTGTGGATCTCTCAGCAAATCCTGATAAGTTAATACACTCCAATAAGGAGATATAATAGGTCACGGATCGTGACAACTACTTTCAGAAATTTATTATATATTATTTCTGATGTCTGTAGCTGTCCTGCCTATAACAACAAGGAGTGTATATGTACTTTCCATAGGACTCTTCCTCCCTAATAGTATTTTTTTCAATTTGGTGGTAACTTTGCACAGACAGATTCTGTTTCCCTTCAGTGATATGAGGGGATTTTTTCCCTGCCTTTTCAGCTCTTCTCACATATTGCCACACCGAGCTTTACAACACTAGTCTAAGTCCCATCCTGCTCTTTTCCTATCCCAGCCTGAACCTTTCTATTCATCTTCTCACAGTTTCTTAGTTCTCTCATGTCTGTCTTTTGCCACAGAGTCACTTAGTTGTACAGTTTTTTGTAGAGAAAGTAAAATACACACTCAGTTTTGTCATTCTTTTCCTCTTCCTGGCATTATCCTTACTAAGGATACAGGATACATGTTTGTGCACTATGCATGTGTGTCTGTGTGCTTCTGCTCATGGGTATTAAAGTGAATGAAAGAACAATGAAACCATTCAAAACCAAATACGGAATCACAAAATAATTAATTTAGCATTAGCAGAATATTGCTGTCTGTTTTTTGTAAAAGTTTCTCAAATGCTTCTGAGCAAGTCAATCATTTTTCTCCTAGTTCCACTTATTCAATTGTCTATATAGTTTCAGAAATGCCACTACCCAAAGTATAATATATAACATACTGATCAAATAGTAAAGTCCACGGATCTAAAAACTTATATTCTAAAAAGTACTGATATATCCTTCAGGAGAAGTGATTTCTGATGAAATCAAAACACTATTTTTTAGACTACTTGCTCCTGACCTACAGAAGGATGGCAGGGGCAGGATGAAAAGACAAGGTGAAAGCTGGACACTATCAGAATTTAAGAAGCTTCAAACTGATGAACTGCAATTGTTTTATAGAGAAATCAACTACAAAACTTAATCAGTTATTCTTGCTCTTGCACCTTATAAGGTGCACTTCTTTATGAGATCTTACGAGGCTCTAAGGAGTGTCAATTACTTTTTCTTTTCTTTCTTTTTTTTTTTTTTTTTTTTAATTTATTTCTTTAGAAATATGTCTGAAAAGGATTACCTGGACATTAAATGATCCTTCACAGTCTCAGACAACAAATGCACACTTATTAAGTCTGTAAGTTTTTCTGCCAGAACATTAAATCTGGGTCCACTTGAGTTTCACACATTTACAAGTCACATAAAATATTCCATCACCATTTAAAAAAATATAATATGTGTAGTAAAAAACCCCACAAGACCCATGTAAATATGCTTCTGGTGCAAGTATCTTAGCAACATCAAAGGGTATTGTCAGTGTCCTTGTTCCCCAAAACAGCAGTGAATTTGTTAAAAAGTGTGTAGAAATCAGAAACCACTTCACCTCAACTGCAAAATAATTTTCCTGTTCATTGCCAATTTTCTTCAAAGATGTTCTACTACTCTTTCACATCACTGTGAAATTAAACCAACTGAGGGTTTGGTATAGCAACAGTACAGGGAATATGTTCTCCTGGAAGTCCAGCCATTTCTGTTTTGCCAACTAGCTTCTCTGTACTTCTTGAAGAAAATACTTATTTTCTGTCCTACTAAGAACTGCACTTGAGCTGCCCACTGCTTTTAAGGTGAAATCCACACACCCTACACAACCAGCAGGAGTGAGAGAAGCAGAACAGGAGAGACCTTCTCTTGGTAATTTGTGAGTGCTTCATACATGCAACAGCCTAGCAGACCAATGACCATACCCTGCCAAATCTGGATCTGCAATTCCACTTTCAGTAACCAGAGTAGCTCAACCTCTTAATTTTAACCTCCATTTAAATTCATGTGAGTGACTTCCAAATATATATATATATATTAATATTTTAACCTATGCAATTGCTGAATGAAAAGCACTGTAAAAAAATTTCACAAGTACAGCTGCAAGTGGTGTTCCATAATATTGTTGTGATATAGACAAGATAGTGATTGTCAAAATGGCTAAAAAGTCTAGAAATGCGAAGAGTTAAGAGCAAATTAGCAAAGATCTTCAGTTTTTAGCTCATATTTTTGCAATAGATGAGGTACAAATTTCAAACATAATTTATCATAGAATCACAGAATGATTTGTGCTGGAAAGGACCTTAAAGATGATCTAGATCCAACCCCCCTGCATGGACACCTCCCACTAGATCAGGTTGCTTAGATCCCCATCCAACCTGGCCTTGAATACTTCCAGGAATGAGGCATCCACAACCTGTTCCAGAATCTCATCATCTTCAAACTAAAGAATTTCTTCCTAATGTCTAACCTAAATCTCCTCTCTTCCAGTTTAAATCCATTCATTGCCCCTTGTCCTCTTGTTACAAGCCTGTGTAAAAAGTCCCTCCACAGCTTTCATTTAGCCCCTTCAAATACTGGAAGGCCACTATAAGGTCTCCCCAAAGCCTTTTCTTCTCCAGGCTGAATAGCCCCAACTCTCTCAGCCTATCTGCATAGGAGAGGTGCTCCAGCCCTCTGATCATCTTTGTGGCCTCCTCTGGACTCGATCCAGGAGCTCCATATCCTTCTCAGGTTGGGGGCTCCAGAACTGAACATGAGGTTCCAGAAGGGGTCTCACAAGAGAAGAGTAGAGGGGTAGAATCACCTCCCTTGATCTGCTGGTCACTCTTCTTTTGATTCAAGGGAGGTGATTCTCCCCCTCTACTCTACTAATGAATTAAAAACACCCTCTACTATCAATAAAAGCTCTTTATAAGTATTACAGTGAACCTCAAAATTTGGGAGTAAAGGGGAAAAATATACTGCATGTTTCCCATCCTGACAGATAATTTTTTGGCTTCTTCCAAAGTTGAATATATTTTACTACTTCAGTTTATTAGTTATTGCTAACCAGTATACAGCATTTTTATGTGGCTACAAAAAAAAAAAAAAAAAAAAAAAAAGAGAGAATTTGCAAAGCCCTAGCTTAGCAGACCTGGCCTAAACAATTACATAAATAAAATGACTAGGGTGATGAAAAACAAGGGTTGTTATTTAGTTCTAACATCAGAGCTACTCACATGTTAACAGATCATAACTAAAAAAAAGGCACAGTCCTCTGCTGTAAAGGCAAACTAGTTAATAACTCTGGAAGTTTAAAAGACAAAACCAAAAAAAACCCAAAACTTTCTAATACCACAGAAGCGTAAACTCAAACTTCTATGATAGGGTTTAGCTCTACTGATTGAAACAGAAATGCACAATGAGTGCTTTTGCAGACATAAGGTCAAAGATGCAGATGTAGGATTGTTTCTGCCAGTAACAATGAAGGCTTCAAAGCCAGAATGCTAACAGTTCTTCCAGGACTCAAAGACCCTTCGAGGGATTAACACTACTGCCCTCCAAGTACTTCAATGTCATGGATAAAGATACTTTACCATCAGAACATTTGGATGGTGGTTGGTTTATAAGAAATAAGATACAAAAACTAGAAATCCAAGCATTGCTCCTTGTTAAACCTTACTGAAATTCTGAGTCCTGGAATAAGTTAAGACTGAGTTCGATCTCTTACAACAAAATTGCATGTATCCCTGCACACAGATGCCTTTCCTTTTATTTTCTATCAAACTATGCTTCATTCAAGCCTCTTTAGGTGATAGTCAGCTAAATGAGAAAACAGAGAGATAAGGACAGGCAGGTTCTAAATGAAACCAATAAACCAATAATAATACACTGAAATAGAAAATAGATTTCAGTGAAGAGATCACAATGAAGGGTGAGCTGGAAAGAGTAATGTCTCTTGAGCGAGCCAGAGAGACGGCCTTCCCTTTTTTTCCTAACACCTGGAAAACATTATGGTTTCTGGTATGATTCAAGATGCAGACAAATACGGGCCAGCCACAGACCAGAGATTTTAAGCACTCTGTATAGCTACATCTGCCACGCAAGATTCCACTAACAGGAGGCAATTTATTTAAGGAGGTTGTTAGCCAAATTCTTCCCGTAACCCAGACTCTACCTCAAAATAACACACCACATACACACGAATACCCAGAACAGCTGAACTATTTTTAGTGTATTTAACTGTATAGTATAGTACTATGCTTCTGAAACCAGAAATAATGGTATTCTAATGATAAACTGTTATTCATGCACATTTTTTTCCCTTGAAACTGTCTCTTAATTTTCTTTAAAGAGGCAAACCAAAAGGTATAATGAAAATAAACAAAACAACTGAAAATGTTAAATTTAAAATATTTTTAAACGCAACTTCATAATACTATATTTATTTATTTTAATTTTTGTCCATTTTGGTACATAATGTTACAATGAATGGGTCAGTCAGCATTACCTATAAAAACACCAAAAAATAACAGGAGAAGCTGAGTGTGCCTGCAAAACAGAAAAGCAACAAAGAGCAAAGAGGAAAACACTCCAGGTCATCTGCTGTGTATGAAAGAAAGCCTTTGCAGAAACAAACAGAAGCCTACCTGTTGGAGGTCCAATGTAATGGTCACATAATGATATTCAATTCCATTCTGAATACTAGGGCTTTGCCACCAGGTGTTCTTGCCATCAATTGCATTTGTTATTGGATGTCGTTCTGTCAGAATAGCAGAAATACATGCATATATTTCAAAAGTATTAGGAGGTTCAAATGTTTTTTGGTCTAAAATATATACTTAAATACAATTACAGGACCAATGAGGCAGCAACAAAAAAACAGCAAAAATCAGGATATTATTTTTTCTTTTACACTTGGGACAAGGTCATGCTTATTATTACTGGAATACTCCTCTAATGTTAGTTGCTTAATTTGGTTAGGATCACAAGAAGGTGACTCAGAACACCTAAATGCACTTGCCAGCTTACCTGATTCTACATAAAATACAGACGTCTAAATCAAATGAATATTTCTGCACTCTTCGAAAGTCTCAGGTGCTGTGAAGTAATGAAATGTTGCAACAGAAACAACAAAGCAGACCCCAAGATACGGTGTGAAGGGAAAACAGATTAAAATAATACTGTTACTTACTTTTCTAAGCACACATGGAATTAATTCAGGAAATAATTCAGAAATCATTAGAGAGGAAATGATTCAGAAATTCAGAATATATTTGTCAACTGGAAAAATCGTCTGACTCACATACATGCATATAAAGATGGTTGTAACATCAAAGTACAAGATGCATTACTTTTCATGTCTACATTTATTCTGCTGCAGTATCCCAGATGAATCCCAAATAACAGGGATAAGAATGTGTTTACAGAATTGAATACTTTCTAGATTTCAAGATCTTCTAAACTATTGAAGTTTATTTATACAGTATTTCAATGTTTTTTAGACTGAGAAAAATGGCACTCAACATTTCCAGTTTACTTTTTGAGGTCAATTTGTGTTTCTCTCCAGTGCGAAATGGAGAATAGCATCACCTCAGTTTTAAAAGGTTCAAAGATCTGTATTTTGAACTCCCTAGTGGCCTACAGCATGTCTGTAAATTATGGGAAACCATAACCCAAGGGAAATTAAAATACAGTAGATTTCTTCTTTACAGGTTTTGTCTGCAAGAACATGAGACAGGAGAAATCCTACCCCTCTTATTAAGGACGGCTTTCTAAACTGACAGGTTTTCAATATAAAACTGAAATAGGCTTCATTACTAGCTAGTTCTAGAATTGGAAATAATTAATTCATTAACTTATTAATTTACTTGTTATTTTAATTATTATTTAAATGAATCAGCTAGATTGATACTTTCGGTCTCTGTTTTCTTGCTACATTTACCACCTGTGGAGGACAGGAGTCCTAGCTCATTAAGGAAAGCCAGAATGTCTGAACATATTTAAAGATGCAATTAAAGAGCTTTGTGGGAGTGAGGGAAGGCATAAACCCTCAAAATTGAAAATGCCAAAAATTCATTTAAGTATCAGATTATTCAGTAGCATTAGTGGGCACCAACATTTGCAAGTTAGAATACTGGTGCTGCAAGTGATGTTATTAGTAGCTTTACCTTTATATTGAAGTGAAAAGTAAAACACACCCATGCTTTACATGTCAGTTCTCACAGCTGTGATCATTTTCACGAACCTTGGCTTTAAATAAATCCTAGCAAAAACCTTCTGTAAATCAAACTCAGAGCTTTGGTGATTGCGACAGAAGCTGTTTAACTGGAAATTTTGATGTAGGTCTCTTCAAATTGATATAAAGGTAAATCATGAGAAGGAGAGTTGGGAGATGAATCAACAATTGCCTGTAATCACCATTATGAAATTTTAATCATAATTAATTTGAAAACATTGATTAATTGCTGGCATATTTTGCCTACTTAAAAGGGAAGGGAAAGTAATATAATATTTGAAAGAGGGTCTGGATTGCATCTGCAGTTCAAGGACCAATCTCCCTGATGGGTGGCAAGGGGGAGAACTTCCAGAGTGAGCCTATTTGAGCCCATCAAACTGTGCTTTTTAATTTGGACTTACATGTGATTAACCAGGGAATTTGTGTTCATTTCCTACTACAGTAATTAAGGGGAGGCACTCCAGACTTGCACATTCCAGGGGGATCACTTAAAGTCTGGTTACTGTACATGGTTCTCCTATTAATGAGCCATCTTTGTTTAAATAAGGCACTTCCTTCTGCCAAATGCACATTTAAAAACCTTAAAATGAGGTGTGGTTGGCAACAAAAGACCAGATATTATGAAGCTGGGCAGATTCAAGTTTTTAAGAGGGTATGAGTGATAGGAAACAAAAATATAAATCATTCAGATGGGGTTTATATATATATTTATATATAAGTATAAACACTAGTGTATACTATCTGACATCATAGGCAGGACACGGGTTCAAAGCAATCCAGCTCTGGCTTAGGTTTGGTTTTGAATTAAACAAACTTGATATAGAAAAAAACCTGTAAAATGTGCGTGTCTTACTACCTATTGATAAAGAGAAAGTATCAACTGCACAATTTTTTATAGCCCCCAAAATCTTCTCTGAGTGAGACCCACTAATAAAATGCAGTAATGAATGCTTATATCACTACAAAGAAATATGACTTTTCCTCAGAAGGTGGCACTTATTACAATTAAAAATGACATCAAAACTGGCCAATTATCTTGGGGAGAAAAAGAGGTTGCAACTGTGTTCAGACAAATGAGGTAGTCTATACTGGGGCAATTATAATTAGCTTTGCAAATACAAGTTGTGGATCAAATGGATAGGTAGCCATTTAGCAGGAAAGCAGCTAGGAGTTACAATGGACAACTGGTTATGCATCTCTCCATGGTGTCACGCCATTAAAAAGGGAAAATAATCCAAGTAAAACACAGAAACATGAATATATTTTGTACATTCTGAAGCAAACCTGCATTTCTATGCAGTGCTGGTAAGAGCTCAGGTGAATTTTAATGAAGATGAAAACATCTAGACAGAATTCAGAGAACTGCAGTTTGCACAGGTAAAGAGTTCTAGAAAATACCACCTATGAAGAGAAGGAAAGAAAACAGCTTAGTCTAGAAATGAGAGAGAGGAGCAATACCATCAGTCCTCAACTAAGTAAATGACGTATATAAAGAAAAGGGGAATAATCCCTTCCTTGTATTTAGTGAAATCTGGAAAAAGTTAATATGAATTTCTGCAAGGAAGGTGCAGATTAGCTATCAGGAGAAGACTTCATAATGGGTAAAATAACTCTCGGAAGAGTGGTCTGAGAAGGAAGTTTCTAAGGGGAAACTAAAACAGCTTCTGTCTGGAAAGGTACAGACATATATCTTGTCTAGAACTAGTAGTCAGATTAAATGTTGTGGATTTTTTCCCCTGTTGTTTTAAGCACATGCTTAAATTTGCTTTATTGAGGTGTAAATAATCTGAGCTAGGTTTTAGAGTGAAACAACTGAAAAAAAAAAAAGGAGAAATTGTTTCTGTGTTTCTGTGGTGGTGTTTCTTCCCACATTTTAGCTGTTCCATCAAAAGGTGTTTTAAATATCTCTACACCCTCTACCATCTACAGAGTGAATTTAGCCACAAAATTCTAACAGTGTTAATGCTATTCACATATTTCACTGCAAGGTCACATGAAATTAATCTTGTATAACTTGACTAAGAAATTGTCTTCTTATCTTCCCAACTATTTGAAACATGCATCTCTGAAGCAGATGATGATAAATTTATAATTAAAAACATATTCTGCTTCTGGGTAGTCTTAAACCAGTGTGGCAAAGATCAATTTTAATATTGATTATTTAAACCAATCAGTGCTCCATTATCTTATCTTCTTTTTGCTGGCTCAGTGAAACTGAATTAACATCAATCACAGAAGAAAAATACCCCCAAACACAATAAAATAAAATTAGTTGGCCGTAAACTGAAATTTCAGATGCTGTTTAGATTGGGCAAAACATTCAAAATCCACATGCAGTTAAAAGACATCTGGTTTTATCTCATGATCAGCATATAACAAGGGAATTCAACAATAGCTGTAGATAATATTTCAAAATCTGAAGTCAGGTGTTCCAGTTTAAGGATTTGAATCAGCATGTTCAATTTGAGGAGTATATATAACACACTGAATTTGAAACACCAATGAAACAGATGGGTAATCCCATTTAAAGAGACAGGAATTTCATAGCAATGGGGCCAGTGACCTACAGGGTTTTTTTGCCAATTATCTACAAACTTGGGGGGAAAAAAATCTTTTTAAAGGAACAGAATGAAAATGGCACACATACGATGTGGAACCCTGCTCCTTTGATCACAAATACGGCACTGAGGGTTCCTTGCAGGCTGTCCAGGTACATGTTCAACAAGTTTGCAGTACATTTCCCGACCCTTTTCTCCACAGGTAGCATTGGTTGTGATGAGAGCATTCGTGGCCAGGTTCAGCACTGCAGGAAACAACCCTGCAAACACAAGAAGATAAAATCATCAACAAAAACAACAAAGGTGAAATATAAATGCACATAACACCTTTTATGACATTAAAGGAAATGGAATAGTTTTCAACAACTATGGAAGTTATGAAGCACAGAAAGGTACCAACAAACTTTGGTTTTGAAGTTGGAATTAAACCATTATGCTGATGTTTTCCTCCTCATTCCCTTCTAAAATTCAAATGAGCACCCCATGGTTTTATCCTGAACAACAGCAAGATGCCAAAGGAAAAAGTAAAGCATGGAAAAACACAGAACATCGTAAAATTATTTTTTCATGATCAGACCTTCTGTTCCTACCCCACTGGACACTGAATCTTTGTATGTAAATTACCTATGAAAAGTCTTCAGTATTCTTTTCTGCTTACATCTCCATGGGAAGGCTTTTCCTCCACAGACTGCATCACTTGTATTACACTCTATTATTATTCTGATTGGGAATCTCATAGTCACCCCTGTCATAAGAGGAGATAAGTAATTCATACAGCAACTTGAATAGCATTTGTCATGTGTGCTTTCCCTTTCCTCAAGAAGCAGCTAATATATGCAACATTCTATCTTTTATGGCAGCAGACATGCCAGGTGCACATGCTGAGTGATACCATTCTCATTCCACACAGCACTTAAGCAAATGTCTGAGTGCTCTGCTGAACTGAGTTCTATGTAGCAGTAAGCTATAAAAATTATAAACCGCATCAAGAACAATCATTAAGGTGGGTTACTCTCCTTCCCACTAAGTACTGATCAAAACCTTTGAGCCGTGATAAAACTGATCCATGGAGACAGTGATAGTTTATGTTGGATATATACATTAGCCTCTCACATGAAAGCAATCAGTTTTTCATCCTCAAAAGTGTAATTTGACATGGCTGCTGGCTAAACCAAAACATAAAAAAATAAAAATAAAAATAATCAGGTATAAATTGGGATCATTTTATGACAATTTCCACTGGCCCCAAACCCACCTTTCTACAATTCATTCAGTTTCTAAACCTACTGTCTTATTACAAACTTTAAATAAAGCTTTAATCAAAACTGAGCCTGCAGTTATTGTACACTGATAGAGTTCCCTTTATAATGGCTTTCCTTTCCCTCCTCTGCAGATGGACAACACTATTCAACTGACTCCTTTCAGTTCTCTGACTTTAGCCTTCTGCTTGTCTATGCAATTAACCTGTATGCCATTTAATTACCAAGCCCAGGTGGTCACGGTACAGCTGTCCTCTGACATAGTGTGTTAGTGACTTTCAGACTCACTTTAAAACCATGTTAAACATACTGCTTGAGCAATGCAACCCATTAGTTACTAAGCTCTCCAATTTGTGTAGTCAACCTATAGTTGAGGTTTTATTGATTGTGCAGCTTGCTGCTTCTGTAGAGATTACAGCATGTTTATTCACATTTTAAAATCTATAGTTGTTCTTGTATTTTTATTCAATGTATTCAGAGATATTTACTGCCTTCTACAGTGGGATCACATAGTAATACCTGTGTAAGCATTAGCTGAGTAGATGATTTAATAGCTGTGGAACTTCCTATGTTGACTTAGAGCCTCATTACTGTCTTGTTAGGATGCACAAAGTTAATAGTGTAAAAGCCAGCAAACATTTAGTCTTAACAGAGTCTGGCATTAGGTTTGGAGTTAAGTGTTTTATTCTCTCCAAAGAGAAGCTCATAAAAAGGACAGAATAGTCCTACAGGCAAGGAATTGCAGTAGATGGCATCAGGAGAATAAAACCTTCAAAAAGCAGTGGAACAGCTGAAAAAGCGCAGGCAAAAACCTCCAAATTAATACAGCTGCAAAAATATTACACATTATATGTCTATACACAAAATCATACAAATGTTCTAAGTTTTAACTTGAATTTTTAAAGTAAAAGATGTAAGTAAATGAAGAGTACTTAAAGAACTCATCAATTAGAACATAATTTCACTCTTCAGGTAACCTCTTTTATGTACAGAGCAGCTTAGGGCAAAACGATCAAAATAGCCTTGCTATTTATGAGCGCAAATACAGACACCAAAGCCAGTACTGGGTGTTTCACCAACGAGATCATGTCAAGATCCCAGCATCTCACAAAGAAGTGCATCACACTGCAGGATCAGAGGGATGGATCTGACTGGCAGAGAGCAAGAGATGTACAAATTGTTCCTGCACTGCACCCAGCACTTCATATGTGGTGTTGATTAATTCCCCAGGCCTAGAATTTTAACAAGTTAAAAACTACAAGTAAGAACTACATATTTGAATTTTTTTTATATACTAACATTTGTCTGTGAGGAGCAGGGAGTTGGTCTCAATGATCCTTAAGGGTCCCTTAGAACTCGAGATACTCTGTGATTCTATAGTACTGCTTTGCATGGCCCAAAATAAGGCTCTGCTTTTAAAGAACCTTTGATCTGCAAGGCTGATGGAATGGAGGAAGCAATACTGTTCACATTGCTTTGTAGCAATTGATATATGTAATACTTTCACAACATAGGCATGAGATTCTAGCAATACAGAAGATTAATGCAATTTCTTGAATCCTTTACTTAGGCTTTGAATATGAAATAAAATGTGAACGTTCATTATGCTAGTTTATACTGTTTACCCTTTCTAAGATTCCCAACCATAAATCCTGAGAAAAAAGGTAAGAGAGCTCAAGACACCACACTTCATTTTTCAAGATAGTTTTACCTTATTTTTCATTATGATAATGATACAGAATAAATGCTTTTAAATTCGTATACTAGCTTTGTGTATATTAAAATTAAATTTCTCACTAAATTATAGAATTTTTTTTGTTATATACCCCACCTTGAATTCTATGGGCATCCTGTTATGAAATACTTCCAAACCCACAATCTGCTATAATTACAGACAGCAATTCCTTCTTTAGTGCCAAATACCTTCAGTAATCATTTGCTCCAGTGCAAAGACTGGGTAAAATACCTCTGAGTCAGAAACACATTGTCTCTATTTCATGTAGCTTAAGTGCAAGCAGAGAAATTCTACTCCCTTCTACTGCCACCTACATCAGTCTTTTCCCTCCTTTGTGTCACTGGCAAAAAACATATAGGCAGTCATTTCTACCTTTAAAAAATACCAAAAATCTACCACTTGGATACAAGAAATAGGTAGAAAAGATTGGCTCGTAATTAGACAGTGGTTTTAGCAGCTTGGATTCAATTTCTGTTTTTCAACAAACTTCTGTTGCATTCAGAGAAAAACACAGCCTCAGATTCTCACCTATGAAAGGCGTGTGGTCATCTTTCTGCTTCGGTTTTTAAGCATGGAACATATTCCACAGGGCTTTTAGAGCATGGAAGCCCAAAATACAGTTTGTTTATTATTGACTGGTGATTAAACTATCAAAAGAAAGCAACACAAAAATTAATCACATTCTTTAAAGTAGTTTACTATGCAAGGGTAATCAAGAAAGCTGTTCATCTCTCTACAGAATGAATGATGATGGTGTGAACAGAAACAGCTTGAGGAAAAAAAATAAAAAACAAAAACCAAA